AGCTTCACATACCTGTTTGCTGCTTTGTGAAGGCATTTTAGCAGCTGCTGTCTTAATCCGATGTAGTTGTCTGGCACGAACCTGCTCTGAATCAGGTACAAATCTCTGAACAGCACGATGATCACGCTTCAGTTTTCGTGAAATATCCAATCTGTCCAAGGCATTTAACTATTTCACGCTTTTCGACAGCAGAGAGGTCCTTTTTCTTTCTCATGTTGCTTGAAAACGGTGGTCTGCGTAATCATGTGGAACGTCCTTCTTCAGTAGTTTTTCCTTTAATTGGGCTCACCTGGCAAACTAATTATCACAGAAGTCTGAGATTGATCTCCAAAGAGCCCTGAGACACATCCGTGGGTTTAACTGAAAAACAAGAAATGTAATCTTTATGACACCTACATATATTTTGCATAATAATTTGGAACGCGGTGAAAATCCTGCACTGCAGCTTTAAGACTGAAAAACAAAACAAGAACCAGCTGTATATCTAAAAATACATCTTTGTTATTTTAATATTAATCATTAAGCTTGTGACCCCCAAATTGCTCTTAATACGCGTGTGTGGAGGAAAAATGTTGGTTTGGACGACAAAGTAATGAAAATATCCAAAAGCAACTTTTTGTTTTGGTTGTCGCCGTTCGGAGAGGCCCTGACCTGGACCTGAACTCCCAGAAGAGTTGAAGGCAGCTCTGCGGCGGCACGCTGAGCCCCGCTCACACTTCGTATATTCACATCTCCTCCAGAAATAGCCGACAGAATCTCCTGCAACGTTTAATGTGTGATTTAAAGTCAGACTCTCCGACTGCTTCATTAACATGAAACAAAGCTGCAGAATGGGATTAGATTCCTGCGCCGCTCCACCCGTCTGCTGTGACTCAGCCGCACAAACACAAACCGCTGCCGTGTCATTACCACACTGCTGCGACTCCATAAAACGGGCAGTAAATAGAGTCAGGCCTCCCAATTAGCGCCGCTCACTTTCTCTGCTCTTTCATCTTCCTTCTTTCTCATCTCCGTCCTGCTTTCATCCTTCAGCTCTCTTTCCTTTCCTTCCCTCCTTACCTGTTTGTGTCTCGTCTGCTCAGTTCCCCCCCCCCCTCTTTTTTCCGCCTTCTTCTATTCTTGTGTGTTTTTGTCTTCGCCGTCTGTTTTATTCGTTGGATTTTAACCATTAAGCAGCAGAATTTATGACCTCTGTGCTCAGGAAAATAACAGTTCTTCCATCACCAATTAAAGAACGTCTGTGTTTAGTGGATAGTTTTTCATCCATTTTATGTGCACTGTAAAAAAAAAAGATGGAAGAAAATATGAAAATGAAGTTAAATGGTGAAATTCTATCATCAAAAATCATAAAAACATTGGAAATAATGTCAAATATCTGTAAAATTATCGTGTTCACAGATTGAAATGCAGTGAAAGAGTTTAATTTTAGACATTGTAGAAAAAATAAATAGTATTTGTAAAAATACAAATTTATAATTTGGACATGACTTACATTTTTTTCCCCCTTTTTTTCAAAAATGAAAATGTAAACTAATCCTTTTTTCTATGGTTTTAATAGTTATTACCTGCAATTTAACAAAACAGTGAAACTCTTGTAAATGACAGTAAATTGTTTAATAGATTTATTTTGTTTACTGTAAAAATGTCAATCAACACTTAAAAAAAATTCTACTAGATATTAATGATAATGCCATTTAAATAATGACAAACGATTTTACTAGATATTAGCTGTAATTTAACAAAACAGGAAAAATCTGTAACATAGTTAAACAGTAATTTACCATTTCCAATATATTTTAATATACATAATTTTCTTTTTAATAACAGCAACAATCTGTAAGACAATGACATTTTTGGCTGATGTAGGTACAATAACAATGGTGAAATTTTACATTTTTGCCCTTTTTTCAAACATTAACATGTAAATTAATCCTTTTTTTCCCCGTGGTTTTAATTGTTGTTACCTGTCATTTAGCAAACCTTGTAGAAACAGTAAATTCTTCAAAAGATTACAGTTAAAAACTGTTTTGTAGTTTGGTTTGTTAAAGCACTAAAGGTGTTTTTTTTTTTTTGTAAAAATGTGAATTTGTACTTTTTTCTTTGATTCTACTTGATATTATCAGTATTGTCATTGAAATAATGACAAATATCTCAAAAGATATTTTTTGTATTTTTACTAGATATTATCTGTAATTTAACAAAACAGGGAAAACCTTGTAAATAACATGAAATTGTTCAAAAGATTAGGGTTTTTTTTTACTTTATAAAATGTGATTTAATACTTTTTTCTTTGATTCTGCGAGATATTAGCGATGTTATCATCATTCAAATAATGACAAATACCTGTAATATAAAGACTTTTTGTATTTTTATTAGATATTATCTGTAATTTAACAAAACAGGGAAAACCTTGTAAATAACATGAAATTGTTCAAAAGATTAGTGTTTTTTTTTATTTTATAAAATGTCATTTAATACTTTTTTCTTTGATTCTGCGAGATATTAGCGATGTTATCATCATTTAAATAATGACAAATATCTGGAATATAAAGACTTTTTGTATTTTTATTAGATATTATCTGTAATTTAACAAAACTGTGAACATCTGTAAAATAGTTAAACAGTTATTGACCATTTCCAATCCTTAACATACATAATTTTCTTTCAAATAATAGCAGATATCTGTAAAACAATGACATTTTTTGCTGATTTAAGTGTCATAACAGTGGTGTAATTTTACAGTTTGGGCCTTTTTTAAAGGATCTTTTTTTCTGTGACTTTACTCGATGTTATTTTTAATTTAACAAAACGGTAAATTACTTTTTTTTTCTTTTTTTCTTTTTTACAGTGTAGCTCTTTAAAGTTCTACTTTTAAACTACTACTTTTTCTAGCATATAATTAGAGCTCCAACTAATGATCATTCTAATTATCAATGAAACACTTGGTTGGTAAAACATCAGAAAACGAGGAGAAACACCAAACACAGTTTCCCAAACTGGCCTTTTTAACGCCCACCAGGTGGATCCATGAAGAACTTTTGACTTGGTTCTTTTGCTAGTATTCTGTTGAGCACCGTTTGTGTTGCGTCAAGGAACCGTGATGGTTCTCTGAGGAACCTTTGGAGGTTCCTGGATGAACCCGTTTTAACATGTTTCTTCTCCAGGATCCCTGTGAAGAGCCCTGTTTGGTTCCAGCTGGTACTTTTGTTCTTCTGGGTGTGATTCATAATGTTTGGCTTCGTTTCTCTGCTCCTCTGTGGCTCTTCTGTTTGTCTTTCAGGTCTTTTCTCATCTCCATCCTCCTGTATTTGTTCCTTCTCCTGCGTTTCACCTCCTCTGCTGCCTCCTGTGTAATTTGCAGGCTGCTGAGGGGGAAACGGTTGTTTTTAACTCTGAGTTTCTTGCGGCTGACCACGACGTTATATTTAGTCCGGGGCTGGAGTTGGGCCTGACGATGACTGAGCTCCCCCCGGCTCGCTGCGCTGTCGGTCTGAGGCTAACCAGCCGCTGAATGCCGGAGCAGGTCCTGCTGAGAGCAGGTTTCCTGCAGACGAACAGGGCGCGGCTCGGCCCTGCTCGACTGTTTGTCATTTAGGTTTCCCCTCTGACTCGCAGTGCAGCCGGATGGGAATGCACACATGCGGTCAGTGACACATGCGAGCTGCATGCGATGACCAGTCGGGTCAGCGAGCGGCAGCGAGTCGACACGACCGGTGGAGCTGAGGAGAGTCCAGCTTTAGTGTTTTTCCAGCTTCTCATTTTCTCACAGGAGCCCTCGGTGATGTATATTATCTCACCGGAGAGGTTTGTTTGACATCTTTGGAAACCAAGTGACCAGATCCTGATCCGTTTCCCACCTCTCACTCATCTCATAATTAGATTTTCTTTTTCTTCTCCTTCGTCTTAACCTTCTGAACCCCAAACTGTTTCTAGGTGTTTTTTTTCATCGCTCCTGTCCTGTTTTTCTTCACAATTTTTCACAAGTCCTGCACCTCTACAGAAACAGAGCAATCATGGCTGCAAGCAGAAATAACTCAAAAACATACTCTATGCAGAACAGAACAAAAATTAATCTTCAAAAAAACCTTAAATCAACACATGCTACATTTCTCCAGCTGCCCCCAGCTGTAACCAATTTTGGAGAAAAAAACCCACGATGGCTCTACATATTCTAGATATTTTACTGCTTTTATTATCTAATTTGTCTTCATACTCTTATCTCCTGTCTGCTTTGCATGAACACAGCCTGCAGTTCAGCCTAATTTAGCCAAAAAAAAGTCCCCTGATTTTTTTTTTAGTCACATGATTATTGGTTACAGCTGAGCCACGAACACGTCTTTTTAACTGTCAATTTTATATGTATTTTATAATCCTATTAGTTCAACCATTTGTTTTAGATAGCTCTATAACAGTAGACACGTATTTGATGAATTTTTCCTGTTCATTTTCCCCGTCACCCATTAATAGTTTGAGGACTGTTGGAAGTTGAAAATCAAATTATTTTTTCTGTTTTTCTGTTTTTTTGTCATGTGACTGCTGGTCACAGCTGAGTCAGTCGTACCTTTATGGTTGTGATAAACAGAGCAAAATTTTTAGTTTTTTTTACAGAATCTGGTCAAAGTGAGCGATTTTTTTTTTTTTTTACCAAATTCATAAAGAAGACACAAGAAATAAAGCAGTTTTGATGAAATATCACATTTTTAAGGTAATGTTTGGGCCACTGGGAGTTGAAAATACGATAATTCTCTCTGTTTTTACAGTTTTGTGTTGATGAATGATGTAATTTTGGCAATGTTTTGGTGTGTTTTTTTTACAGATATACATTTTAAACCTGCATAAATGCTGACAAGAAAAGACTTTTAAAGAAAGCAAGCTTTGCGAGTCAAATAAACAGCAAATTATTAGGAATTTTAAGCAATAAAAAAATGCAATAAGGTTACAATAAATTCAGTTAAGCATGATTTATTTAGATTTTTCTGTCTGTCCTTGTTCCTCTGCAGCACCGAGGCGTTCAGCACCGAGCGGGGAGCGAGGGACGGCGCCACCAAAGTGATGATCGTGGTGACCGACGGAGAATCTCACGACGGGGAGGAGCTACCGGACGCTCTGCAGGAGTGTGAGAACAGAAACATCACCAGATACGCCATCGCCGTGAGTACATCCACCAACGTCTGGACTGGTTTTATGTATGGTTTTATCTTTAGCTCGTCTGTATGTCTTTAAACCAATCACGTCTTTTTGTGTGGTGCTGAGCCCGGGATGCAGCAACGGTGCCCCTGCAAAATAGTAACAGAGGGAATTTCAAGTCATCTTTTGCTCCTGTCACACTTTTCCTGACTGTGGGCTCATTTCACTGCAATATAAAGTCCATAACCCATGTAGAAGGAGAGAGATGTCATCTGTGCAATATGACGCTTTTAAAATGACACAAAATGCAAACAAAACAACAACAAAAAAAGCTGAATTTCTTTAAATATTTACAACATGTACAACATTTTTCCACGTTTCTACAGCTGTTACCAACACTGGGGTGGGGGAGGAGGCTCTACATACTATAAATCTTTAAATATTCGTATGTTTAATATGTGTTTCTATACTGGTCTCCTCTCTGCTTCGTGTAAACACTGCCTGTAGTTCAGCCTAAAAGTCCCTGAATTTTTGTAATGTGACTTTTGGTTGCAGCTAACTCACTAAGAGCTTCACAAAAGAGGCCAAAGTGCAGAATTTTGTGTTTTTTTACCAAATCAGGTTACTGCAAACATATTATATTATATATTTTTGGCAAATTTTTAAAATTACACACATAAAATTTAGTTTCCATCTTTAGACAGAACGTCTCATCACAGATTTCTTTTTTCAAGTAGCATCAGAAAGTTAAAAATCCGACAAATATTTCTGTTTTTGCAGTTTTTGGCTCGACTTTTTAATAAAATATAACATGGCTTTTTAAAGCTACCAGCGTTTTTGGGTTAAAGAATAACATTTGTATATTGAAAAAAAAAAAAGTCTTCCAACTTTTTTTTTTTTTTTTTTAAATACTACTTTTGGTTGCAGCTAAGTCACTAGGAGCTTTGCTAATGAGACAAGGAGTGCAGAATTTTGTGTTTTTTTACCAAATCTAGTTACTGTAAAGTGTTTATTTTTGGCAATTTTTAAAAAAATTTAGTTTCCGTCTTTCGATAGAACATCCCATGACAGATTATTTGATTAAAGTAACATCAGAAAGTTAAAAATCCAACAAATATTTCTGTTTTTTCAATTTTTAGCTCGAATAAATGTAGCTCAGTCACTGGAGCCTTTGTTAATGAGGCAAGGAGTGCAGAATTTTGTGATTTTTACCAAATCTGGTCACTGCAAAGTGTTTATTTTTGGTCAGTTTTTCAAATTGAACACGTAGAATTAAGTGATTTTTTTTATTTTTATGAAATATCAACATTTTAGTTTCTGTTTTCAGATTTTTACCTCAGAATGTCCCAACACAGATTATTTGGTTCCAGTAACATCAGAAAGTTAAAAATCTGACAAATATTTCTGTTTTTACAGTTTATGGCTCGACTAAATTACGTAAGTTTGGCAGTTTTTTAAAAAAATATAACACGCCTTTTTAAAGCTACCAGTGTTTTGGGGGATTGTGAAGGTCAAAAGAAATAATATTTTCATATGTAAAAAATCTTCCAACATTAATTGTTTCAGCCAGAATCATGAAAGAATCTTTATTCTGTGTTTTATTTGATGGTTACGGTGCATTAATTCCAGACTCAGGAGCTCTTTGTGCCTGTCTGGTAGAGCTGCTGCTGATCCTCTACAGCAGCAGAACATCCTGACGTTCCTCTAACATTGTGTGAACGCGCTGCGGCGGCTGAAAACACCCAGAAGCGACCACACAATGTCGCCGCCACTCCCCCAGAAATAACATCCCCAAATTACCAAATGAGCCCCTTGGCTCGACCGAAATAGCTGATTGGGAACAAAAACTTCTTCCTCGGCAGCTCCACCCCGACCCCCTCGTCGGAGACCCTCCCTGGACCACAGGACGGGCTGGAGAACCTTCAGAGAACCACAGAGCAGGAGAACGGGGCCAAACATGAGGGCAGAGGGAATGTAGGCCAAGTCACGTTAATGTTCCTCAGAGCTTCTGAGGCTGAATCTAAACCAACAGCAGCTCATCAGACTGAACAAACACCAACAGTCTGGTTTGTTTATGATTTCATTGTGTGATGATGATCAAACTATTGCCCCACAGGATGCTTGATGTGCACAGTTTAGGTCAAAAATATAGATTTCTTAAAGTAATTTATTAAATGAATCAGATTTCGGGGCTTTGAATATTAATTTTCTGAAAAATTGTCGCAATCATTTCATTTTTCTGCTAAATGGAAAAATTAAAACATCCTGTGATGAAGACAAACCAGACTTAAACACTTACATTACATTTATTATTGGTGATTAGAAATTACACTTTCCTCTACAATTAAAAAGCATCTGAGGATTTCCATTGCTGGAGATTTGCAGAGGTGTTTACGTGGTTCGGTTTTTCTTTGCTGCTTTTAAACTTTAACATAATTCAGTGTGTTTTAAAACAACAGTGAGCAGAAGAGATCCATGTCGATACAGGTGTGGAAACTTGTGGGGTTTACGACGAGCTTGTTTTGCACGTTTACTCACGAGAAACGATTCTAATCCTTCAAAATTTTCTTCCTTTATTTAGCGGCAGCAAAAAGGTGAACCTTTTTTAACAGGTTTTCCTTGTAGTATCATAAAATTTTCTGTACAGATTTTAATTAATTCAAGGAGGAGATTGATTAATTTATCAAAACAATGTCATTAAATTTACTTTTAAATTGACTGACGTTGACGTTATTATGTCAACCATCAAGATAATGTTTCTGGTTTATAAGATTTATCTAAATTAACATTTTATTTTTATTTTATTTTTATTTTTTTGTTTATCTTGCATCAATGCTTTCAGCTAGTTGGTGAAAGAAGGTCCCTTGAATGACTTTTTAGAACCCATGATGTTCAGCAGCTGTAGTTTGGAGGTTTCCAGATGAGAACTTTCACAACAGATTTATGTATTTACAGAGTATTTACAGCTTTGAGGAGTCAAATACATCTCCAGGGTGGATAAAGGCCAAAATAACAAACAGATCCGTGTAAAGAAAACCAACTAGAACCGATTGATAGAAGCAGCTTCTACCTGCACACTCCAACTCACCAACGTCTGCATCCAGTTTCATGGCGGCTCTTCCTCCTTTAGGGGCTCAGATTCTTTTACTCATAACAGGAAAAAGTCGACCTCATCTTGTCTCCAGAGACGACACGAGAGAATCCCTCAGGTCATTACAGTTAATCATGTGGAAAGCAGATTTTACTGCAAATCGTCAGAGTTCACGTTAAAACAAAAAGTGTTCGTCCACAGACACGCAGGGAGTCACAATCATCAGCACATTGATGATGGTTAAGGCTTTAAGATGTCGTGAAAACACTTGAGTCGCGCCACAAGTTTAGCCGAAAACGTTTCAGATTTGACAGTTTGAAGGAACGAATGCTTCAGAGAAAAACAAAACTAAAACTCTGCCATTAAAATCAGTGATGCTGCTGTTGAATTTATCAGAGGTTCATAAATTAAATTGTGTTAGTTTGACACGTAAACCAGAAAATAACAATAAGGGCCGGATCATTATGGTTTGTTCACGGCTGTTTTTAGTCTACAAGGAGATTGATAACACATATTTGGGGGGGGGGGGATAGCCAACTTGCATTATTTTTCTTTGACTTGCTATTTAGAAAAAATGACAATACCTGGAATCAGCATGTATTAATACTTGTGGATCTGTGTAGAATAGAACAAAAAAAAATAGAATAAAACTTTATTGAATAAAACTTTATTGATCCGTGCGGTACAAAACCTCGGGGAAATTGCTACACCAGAAAAACAACACAACACCAACATAAAATCAGCAACAACAGCATCCAAAGTTCAAAATCAAAATCAGCATTCAAAATTCAAAATCAGCAACAACAACAGCAACAATAATAACAATAATAATTATTAATTATAATAATAATAATAATAATAATAATAACAACACTGGATACAGTAACATATTGCACACAGTCCGGTGATCGAGCATGATGCTCTATCTCACCCCAGTGTCCTCACTCCTCACTCCTGTAATACCCCTGACATGCAGTACTGTTACCTCTATGGCTACTACTTGTGTATATTTTGGTTTATTTTTTATTTTTGTACATCTCCTAAATGTTGGCACTCTCTTTTGCTGATATAACAATCAGCAAATTTCCCCACTGTGGGATTAATAAAGGCTTATCTTATCTGAGTTTAGCTTATCTTAGCTTATCTCAGCTAAGCTTATCTTAGCGTAGCTTATCCTAGCTTTTCTTAGCTAAGCTTATCTTAACTTAATTAGCTTATGTTAGCATAGCTTAGCTTACCTTATCTTGTCTTAGCTTACCTTATCTTATCTTAGTTTAGTTTACCTTAGCTTATCTTAGCTAAGCTTATTTTAGTGTAGCTTATCTTACCTTAGCTTATCCTAGCTTTTCTTAGCTAAGCCTATCTTAACTTAGTTAGCTTATCTTAGCATAACTTAGCTTACCTTATCTTTTCTTAGCTTACCTTAGCTTATCTTAGTTTAATTTACCTTAGCTTATCTTATCTTAGCTTACTATAGCTTATTTTAGCTTAGCTTATCTGATCTTAGCTTAGCTTATCTTAGCATAGCCTATCTTAGCTTGTCTTATCTGATCTTGACCTAGTTAGCTTATCTTAGCATAGCCTATCTTACCATAGCTTATCTTAGCTTATCTGATCTGATCTGATCTTAGCTTAGCTTATCTTAGCATAGCCTATCTTACCATAACTTGTCTTAGCTTATCTGATCTGATCTTAGCTTAGTTAGCTTATCTTTGCATAGCCTATCTTACCATAGTTTGTCTTAGCTTAGTTAGCTTATCTTAAGTTTCCATAGTTGTTACCAATATTGGGGGAAAAACTGAGGTTCTACACACTATAGATATTAAACGATTTACATTTTTCATTTGTTTTCATACTTGTGGAAACACTGGCTGCAGTTTTTCTGAAAAGTCCCTGAATTTTCATCACACGACTTTTGGTCGCAGCTGAGTCA